ACTGTTCCTGGTTGAGTAGCCCAACAGCTTACCAGATAATATAGGCTACAGTAAGATGGAACATTTCATAGCATGTTAAAACACTGGAAGATTATTCCTCTGAAGACTGAGCTGCACAGTGTGTACATATACAATCATCCTTTTCTGAATAAAATTTGAACTACTCCAGTCTAAAGCAGTACAAGGCCAAATACCTAAAGGACACTACTTTTGTAGAAGAGGCCAGACCTCTGGAATGGGCAGGTCCAAGTTTATCCTTACTAATGCTATCAAATTCTGAGGTGGCCATGATGTATAGTGTAATGATAAAAATCAGGAAGCCAAGGGAAGTCATAGAGTCATCCACTACCTATTTTATAGGTAGAAATAGGAAGCAAGCTTTAAGGTCACAGATCAAATCCAAGTCAGTACCAAACTTAAAATGTCAGAGTTAATGGCTCCCAGTCAGAGACCCAGTACATTAGATCACACCTGTCCCATACAAAGAGCATCTCTCATCATACACTCCCTTATTGCTATGCAATTGACTATCAGAGCAGAAATACATTTAAACACTGGAAGTGGGCCCCACTAAACATATACCAGATATTTAAACTTTTTACCAATACTTCTTTGAAACATGAAAAATTCAGTAATCAATGGCCAATCTACTTTTATAGAAAATGTTGTGACCCTCACTTCCTGGGAACGTATTTTGTTCATTGCAAAAACCCCAGTTCCCAAGTAATTCAGTAATAGTTACTCTGCAAGTTCATTAACAGCACCCGTGTAATTCAGGCCCGTGTTCTGCATTCTGCCATAGGAGGTGGCAGTGAATAATAGTCATGTTACCTAATCTTACCTAATCTAAATCCTTCTTGACAGTATTCCATACTTTTGTGCAAACAGAGTTTTCCAAGTTTAGGTTTACAAAGAGAGGGATTTTCCCTGATACTTAGGAATGGGGCATCATTTTTTAGCTCTTCTTCTGGTTTCATGAAAGAGAGATCAAGTACCTAGGTTCCATAGCCGTTACCGTTATTGGTATATGTAAAGCCACTATACATTATAGAGTTTGACTGAATGGAACTGTAGTGACAGCCAGTCCTTATTTATATTACATAAAGTGAAATCTTGGCCACATTAAGTCATTGAAGTTTGCCATTGGCAAGGTTTTTAATCTTAAGAATCTGAATTATCCTGATGACAAATATGGGCCAGGGAATGGGTTGCTGCAAGTTGGAGGCATGTTTTCTATAGTGGATCTCTCTTTCATGGAAGACACCTCCCCCCACTTCCATAAGTAAAACAACAGGGACCCAAGGTGTCTCAAAGTTTTTCCTTCTTATATTTTATCATCTCAATCCTCACCAGTATCCAAAGGAACCTGTTTAGTTGCTCAACTAAACTTCAAAAATCACTGGGAGAAATCTACTGTCACCGCCGTAGAAGCAAGGCCTGGTGGGACTATTCTGTTTTGCTGTTGGAATTTCCCCCACACACACCCCAATTTATTGTTTATGTATATTTTTAAGTGCATCTACACAAATACTAAATTTGTCTGTTTTGGTCTTTACATTACTTTCATTACAAAACTGCGTAAAAAAAGACAGAAAATCAATTTCATAGTCAGGGCTTACGCAGCAGGAGGCAATTCATACTGACATTTGATACCTGCTGGCTGCTGCTTCCAATTATGCCAGATGCTGGATACCAGGGCTGTCGAAATAACAGTGTTGACGGTGCAATCAAACTAGTTAACATTCTAGAAGTGTGTTGTACTTGGTTCAGTGCATCGTCAATTCCCACCATAAGCAAAATAGTGACACCTACTCCTTTTTTGTTAACTTTTTAACTGGCAAAGAGATACACATTAATTCAATGTACAGTTGCATCTTTAGATATATAGCTGAATCTACCCTAAGGCTAAAAATAAAAAGATTGGAGGGAATGGGAATGAAAAGTGAAACAAACATGATAAGGACTTATAATAATACATCCCTACTAGACTCTACTACAAGGCTGTATTACAACCCTGGAGGCAAGATCATGCGTAATTCTTGTCCAGTGTCTCACGGTGCACAAGGGAATGCTGATGTCATTGGATTAGACTTAATGCTTTCCTCAAACTGACGTACAACTTGTTGAGTAGAACAGAAAGTTGAATAAAAGGACAGGAAATTGCTGAGGCATTAACTGATCTACAGAGACAGAGGGGTAGTCATCCCTGGTAGCAAAGTCCTCATATTCTGGAAAGCAGAGAACAAGTTTGACCAAAGTCACAGAAGGGCACAGCTTTCTACTTTCTTTTCCCACCATCCTAGCAATTATAAAAAAAATAAGTGCAAAAGTCTTTCCATAAATGCAAAAGTACAAAAGAAAGTCCCTTTGTACTCCCACCTAGTGTTCTCTTCAAACAACTGCTAACAAATATACTACTTATTTACACACACACACACACACACACACACACACCCCCCCCAAATTCTCAGTCTTTTTCACATAAAGTTTTTGTAGAAGGTAATCAAATATTTGCCAAAAGAAACACTGAGTGAAAAAGTTAAAGGCCTGGTTCTGTCACAATTTTCTTCCAAATGTTTCCACAGTGGGAATGGGAATTGTACTCTCCCAACCCCTATAAATGCCTGTGGAATGAGGCATGAGTACGGCCCCTCAGGAAACCATAGCTATTCATGTGCAGGGGCCTCCCTTTTCCATGTTGGACCCGGATGTCTGCCACCCACTGCCCCACTGAAGCCAAGTCCCAAACTGCCCATAAATCCCTCCTTCTTACAGGATGATCTCTATGATTGGGGAGAGCAGGGGAGAGAAACGGCAAGTTAAAAAAAAAATGCAGCTACATGGTTGAGCTTCATGGAAGGCTAGTTCCACTCTTTCCCCTTTCACACACTGGTTCAGTTTTATGAAGAGGTATTTTTTATATACCATTAAAAACGCACACAAAATATATTGACCCAAATGTTTTTAAATGTTATTGTTCAAATTCCATCACCACACAACATTAAGTCTCCACACTGTCCCAGAGCTTATGCTAGGGCACCTGGTACAAAAAAAGATTAGGGACAGGTCAGCATGGATCCCTGAGACACACACACACAGACAGAGACACAGACAGACAGACAGCCGGGGGAGACAGACAGCCAGCCAGCCAGCCGGGGGTTTTTATCCCTCCTCTCCACCCCTCTTCCCCCAGGGGATCCCAGGATCTGCCCGCCCCAACCACCCCCTCCGCCAATTGCTGCCTGTGCAGGGGACCAGCAGAATAAGCCTCCTCTGTGCCCCCTCCGCTAGATGCCAGAGGGAAAGGAGAACAACCTCCCTCCCTGCCCCCTCACCCAAGGGGCCATGCCAACCAGCCTCTGGCCCCACCCTGCTGCTGGAGCAGTGAGGCAGGAGGGACCCTGTTGAAGGCAGAAGCCTCTGTCATGGTTTCCCAGACCACAGGCCTCTTCCTGGTTGGGCCATGCTGTGGGCAGGGGTGGGGGCAGGGGTGGCAGATCTGCCACAGACTGCATGGGGTGAGCAGCGGCAGTGCTAGGGGGATTTGGGGGGCTATGGCCACCCCTCCAACTCTGGTTGAATTTAAAACAGGAAGGGTGTCTGGGACAGATGTTGCATAAACTGTTTCGAGACAGGTCAGTTAAGTCTGATACTACATTCAACCACGTTTATCTTAAACCAATTTCAGCCTTTTTGAAACTGGTTTATGTGTACTGAACTTATGTTCTGTTACAGATTTAAACCAGTTTCTGATCACTTAGACTGATTTATGTGTAACTTCTGTCCCTAGCCATAGTGTATATTTTAAAATGCTGAACTAATCCCTGAAGGAGAGCTCGCCAATTGTGGCATATCCATCAAGGATGGATGTATCCACAAGGTTAAAATAGCCTCAACACTCCTTATGCCAAATAAGCCATAGACCACACTACCCAAAAAGGAAAAAAAAAAAACTAAACAAAAACACGGGCATAGCGACTGGGCAGGCATCAATTTAGCACAGCTCCTAGACAGAGTTGACAAAGAGTTCACTGTTAACTCCCATGGCATCTGTCTCATAAGCTAACATTATGCCAGCCTTTCCCCAGCAGATACTCCAAGTGAGGGTGTGGTTTATCAGTGGCAACATATAGGGGGCGCACATGCACCCCCTGAGAGCACTGGTGTACCCCCTCACAGGCAGCACTCCCCACTCAGGTGATGGGCAGGGGGGACAGGTGGAAGCACCAGTGCCCTCCCTGAGAGCGCTGGCCAGGAAGTGGGGGAGCCATGTGGAGCACCACTGGCACTTCTGGGAGTGCCGCTTCCCAGTTGGCATGTTTGCCTGCAGGGGGACCACCGCCCCCCGCCCCCTCCCCCCGGTCAACATGATCAGCCGCAGCCACTGACTGGCCGCCGGGGGGCCGCGGCCCCGGGCTGGCCGCTGGGGGGGGGGGGCGTGTGCCCCCCGACTCAGGTAGCACCAGTCACCCATGTAGTTTATAATGCCACCAGGTTTCCCTTGAGTGGATCCCCTCCCCACCTGGGGCACAGAGGGTCTGGTTGGAACAGGGAGTGCAAAATGTACTTCCTAAGAGCAGGACATAAAAACATAAGAACTGCCATACCAGGGCAGAACAATAATTTGCATAGCCCGGTATCCTGTCTCAGACAGTGGCAAGTAGTGCATGCTTTAGAGGAAAAGTATAAGAAAGAAGTGATCCATCCCCTCCCAGTTACAAACATCCAGAAGCTTTGAGATATCATAAGCCTGAGGTTACATCCCAGAATACTGTATTTCATAGCTTCCATGGGCCTAACCTTCATAAATTTGGTCTCCCGCATTTCTAAATATGGTTACACTACTTACCTCCACAACATCAGGTAGCAATGAGTTCCACAAATTAATTATACACCATGCAAAAAGTAGTATTTCCTTTGTTTGCTTTTAACCTAGCACCTGATAATGTTATTGGTAATGCCTAGTGCTTGTATAATATGACAGTGAAAAAACAGTTCACCTATTTACTTGTTTTCATCAGTATTCTTGATTTAGTAGACCTCTGCCATATTCCTTATCTTCACCTTAACAATAGAGAAAGGTAGTTAGATGTGTTAGTCTGAAGTCAGGCAGAGGGGTAAGATCATAGAAACGAATTGGTTCAGAGGGGCATAAGCTTTCATAGATGACAGCCTGGTTTGTGGCCTACAAAAAATTATGCTTCTGAACCACTTAGGTATCTCAGGTGCCACCCTGCCCTCCCTTCATCCTTAACAACAGTGAACCTTGCTATTATTTTACTGTGCTCTGGGGTTAGCACTATGACATTTTCAGCACAATTTAGGGATAACAAATAGGTTGCCAATTTCCTTTCATAAAATATAAAAGTGTCTTGATGTCTTTTAGGGCATCACCCACAGAAATAAACAAATGAAAATAAAACACAAAAACATTTCAACTAAAGAACAAAGAAGATAGAAATCAGTTGAATTGCCACAGAATTATGATAGATACATGCTGCACTGATTTAAACCAGGCAACAAGCCTTTTTTCCCATTCAGATTTCCAAATCAGTGGTTACATTAATACTGTTAAACCTCAAATGTGTTTACAATAATCATAAATGCCAATTGATTCTTTAAAATATTTTCATTAAGGATTTCTAAATCTACTACATCTGTGTTAAATCCTCAATTAATATGTTTTTAATATGCAGTGGTGGTTTTTTTTATTAACAGAACAAATAACTGTCTTATTAAATCTAAATTAAATGCATAGTTGGGACTCTAATTTAAAATGTTACTCTTAAATCTTTCAGTGGATGAAACCTATGGCTAAATTAAGCAGCACTGGCAATAACTTTATAATGCACTGATGACTCATTCTCAATTATACTCCAGCATATTTTTGCAATAAGAAAAATGGGAGGAGTCAAACAAAACAAGATTTCCCACCTCAAAAGGGCACAGTTGAGCCAGCCTTTAACTTTTCTTGCAAATGCATGAGAGAATAGATTAAATCTTAAAGTCATGTCCAATTATACCCAAACTATTTAATCATGGCTGTTAACCATTTTAATAATTATTCTGGATGTGATCCATATTTCAGAAGCAGAGTGTAATATCTAATTAATACATTAGCATATATGCTGTGAACAATTTATTGTGATAATGCAGTACAATTTCCTTAGTTTAAACACCTTGATTGACAACGATACATCATTTCAATTATTCTTTTGGCAATGACAAAAATTATTTCCATACTTTACAGTTAATTTGATTTTGGGACAAACTCATAAAACAGATTATGTTGTACATTTAATATGAATAGATTTTTTTTTTTTAATCCTTAGAGGAGATGCTCAGGTCTTAGCAAGCTTGCTTTCTTGTACTGTTTATCAGTGTTACATTTTTTTCCTTTTATTTGTTTTTTTCCAATTCTCTATTCTACTACCTATACAAGTAGGCAACAGAGAAAAAGCACCACAAAAATAGTTTGGGATATCTTCCTCCATAAAGAGGGTTCATACAATTTTTCTGGAGACAATTTTGAAATGAAACAATTTTTGTTTGTTTGGCTCAAAATTTTCCTTTTCTTTCTAGTCTAGAAAGAAACAAACACAAACAAAAAAAGAAATTCCAAAATGAAACAGAATGGAAACATCCACTTTAATCTGAAGTTTTCTATAGAAAGTCCTCACTGAAATGCCAATGAACTCCCTTCTGGTCAGAAATTTTTTTTTCAGTTAGCAATTCTGATTAGTTCTACAAACACCAGTAAATAGCATAGCACACCTTCTTGCCCATAATTGCTTCATTGTATCACATCAACTCATTAGTTATTCAGCACCTAAAAAGTAGCTGGTTCCTTAGAGTATAAACAAAGAGAGGTCCTCAGTCTTAACAATATTACAGTTTAATTCTAGATGCAACACAATGAGCAAGAGTTAACTACCTAGTAGAGTAATGGGATGAAAAGGGGCGATTGTAATAAAGTAAAAGTGCTAATTTCAGACTGTACTGTAGCAGAAGTTCTGAGAGGGTAGGGTCTTCTAGGAAGAAAGAATGGTCAAAGAAAAGCAGATCTTCCATAGAGATGAGCTCCTGATAAAAAGTTCTCTTACAGCTTTCTGGAACATATTATGTCCAGTCCCTGCAGGAGCCAGATGGTGCAAATGAATGAAACAATGGGTGGAAAAGGTTGCCCACATATTTTCAAATCAGAGAAATGGTTGGAGTTGGGTTTGGTTTGCATCTTGAGGCAGTTATCTTTTCCTATCCTCAACTAAGCATTTTTAGTGTGTGTTTGGGGCAGGCAGGGTGGAGGGGGAGGTATAGAACTGCTTCTAAAATCAGTCCCCCCTGCAGGAATGTCACAGAAGTTCATAAAGATCAGCCATTTACTTTAGCAGGCTATCAGAAATTTTCGCTTTGTCCAAAGAGCACTCTGTGTGTAAACTCAGCCCCAAATATTCACTGCGAGACAATATATCTGTATAGTTTCGTTTTTAGAAGAATTATCAGGCTGTAACAGGCATCGTTTCCGAGCCGGGCCAACCTGCAGCCCGCTCACCTGTTCCTGCAGCAACCGCCCGCCCTCTCGCCTGCCACATCTTGATGTTAATTAATTAACTAGTGGGAGGCTGCCATTGTACTGCCCCGATGCCAGGGGGCGCTATCTGCGGCTCCTTCCTCCCCAATACTGCAGCCCACGCCTCACGGATGTAATTGCTGTCATCTTCATTCTGCCCCCCTTCTGGGGCCCACTATGCCCAACTTGGGCTCAATCACCCCTCTCTGGGGCTGGGGTCTATGCACCCCATAAACTGCGCCCTCACTGGCACCTGGCTTACTGTGCCCAACTTGGGCTTACAAAATGGCCTCCTTCCTGGGAGCTCACCCCGCCCACGCTAGGGCTTCACCAGAATGCCCTTCCCTAGGGCTGGGGTCTATACACCCTGTATGCTGCACCCTCCTGGGCACCAGGGCCCCCACACACTGCTGTGGGTTACCCCTAAGGATACTGCACCCTCACTGGCGCTAGGGCCCCCACCCCTGTGGGTCCCTAAGAGGCCTCCTCCAACCCCTAATAGCCTCACCCAAACCACCAGTTTAATAAACAAAACAAAACACAAGCCCCTAGGCTGCAACATAACTATAAGCTGCCTGGCTACAACCACACTGCTCCAACATCTTGGAGCTGACTCTCACACAGTACCTGCAGTGACTTCTCACATCTCTCCTCCAGGAGCTCCTGCCTCTCTGGCTGCTGGCAGGGAACTGCTAGCCTGGCTTCAGCCCTGGGCTTTATAAGGGCCAGGCCCTGCCCCCTTCTGGCCAGCTGACTCCCATTTGTTGCCCCAGCAACCCACAGCTGTGCTCATTATGTTCTGCCAGGGCTCTCTCTCCCTGGCAGTTTTCATTCCTTAGGAGCAAGGTACTGAGGTGCCCTGTGACACAGGCATTCAGCACAGTAAAACTAGCTAAGAAACCACACAGCAACTCAGAATAATACCTAATGTATTTTCTTGAATGTCTTTCTAAAACACCAGTCCCCAGTTTATAGCCCTTGAGTACCATGTTGCCTGTGGCACTCTCTGATAATGCTTTTGGCCAAGGGATATTTAAAAAGTTAAAACTAGGGTTGACATGATAGATTGGAGTACTGTTGCATCTATGATCATGCAAGAAATATGTGAGAAACTTTTTTTTGGGGGGGGGGTTGTGTTTTTTTGGTGATGCCTTTTATTGGACCAACTGCATAATCAGGAGAGATGTTAGACAAGCTTTCAGGCACAAAGTGTCCTTCTAATGTTGACAAAGAAAGCAAAGAGCAGTGTTGCCCTTGGAACATTACTTGCTCACTTTTCTTGCTCCTGGATGGGCAAAGGCTGGGAACCACTACTCCAAACCACTACTCGGCCACTGACCGAGACAGGATACTAGACATGATGTGAAGTATAGCCTGCCATGATCCTCACAGGATATCAGATCTTCTCTGGCAAACTATGGAATAAAGCAAACACACAGGCAAAAGATAAAAAGCATGTCATGTCTTCTATCCTAATCCATTGGGAGGATCATAGAATCGTAGAAAAGTAGTGCTGGAAGAGACCTCAGGAGGTCATCTAGTCCAACCTCATGCTAAAAAAGCTATTACTTATGTACTCATTAATAACTAATGTGTGGGTGTTGGCATTTTGTACATTTTATTAACAGTATAGATCATTAGAAAAATTAACTAAAAGGAAAAAATTCACATCAGAAACAGTGGGGCAAATTCACCACTGCAATAAGCATCTTCTTCAATGGATTTGTAACCATTTATACCAACACTGAGTTTGACTAACTAACTTCTTTCCATCCCCACCTAAAGCAGTTCCAAAGAAGCCAAACTCACCCTCACCATGATCCGCTGGCTGGGGAATTGTCTCCCCGGTAGGACCCAGAGGGTGGTGGTTGACAGACATCAATCATCGTGGTGCCAGTGGGGTCCCCTCAAGGCTCTGTCCTAGGGCCTATACTTTTTAACATCTTCATCAATGATGTAGACATTGGTGTCAGAAGTGGACTGGCCAAGTTCACCTATAACACCAAACTCTGGGGTAAAGCATCCACACCTGAGGACAGGAGGGTGACCCAGGCAGATCTCGACAGGCTCATGAAATGGGCAGATGAGAACCTGATGGTGTTTAACATCAAAAAAATGCAAGGTTCTCCACCTTGGGAGAAAAAACCCGCAGCATGCTTATAGGCTCGGCAGTGTTACGCTGGTTAGCACTACAGATGAAAGGGACTTGGCGGTCATGACGGACCACAAGATGAACATGAGCCTTCAATGTGATGCTGCGGCTAGTAAAGTGAGCAAAATGCTGGCTTGCATCCATAGATGCTTCTCAAGCAAATCCTGGGATGTCATTCTCCCCTTGTACTCGGTTTTGGTGAGGCCACAGCTAGAGTACTGTGTCCAGTTTTGGGCTCCACAATTCAAAAAGGATGTGGAGAAGCTTGAGAGAGTCCAGAGAAGAGCCACATGCATGATCAGAGGTCAGGAAACCAGACCTTATGATGAGAGGCTGAGAGCCATGGGACTCTTCAGCCTGGAAAAGCGCAGGCTCAGGGGTGATCTGGTGGCTACCTATAAGTTTATCAGGGGTGCTCACCAGGATCTGAGGGAACATCTGTTCACCACAGTGCCCCACGGGATGACAAGGTCTAATGGTCAAACTCCTCTGCAACCGATCCAGGCTGGGCATAAGAAAGAATTTCTTTACTGTTCGAGCCTCCAAGGTTTGGAATAGACTGCCACCAGAGGTGGTTCAAGCACCCACTTTGAACACCTTCAAGACACATTTGGATGTTTATCTTGCTGAGATCCTATGACCCCTGCTGACTTCGTGCCCCTGGGGCAGGGGGCTGGACTCGATGATCCTCCGTGGTCCCTTCTAGCCCAAATGTCTATGAAACTAAACCTATGAAATCTATGAAATATCCTCTGCTTTCAGGTGATGGAAACATTATGATGAGATGCCTTGTAAACCACCTGAAATATTTCAGGATGATATATTTACATATGTCTGTTTACAATAAGGTTTTGCTATCAAATGGCTTGTTTTCTTTAAAGTTTTGTTATAAGTGCACTGCATAAAGCAGTCTTTAATGATGTGTTCTGACTAGGCTTCTCCTTAGTTGAATGAAAAGAGAAATAAAAATGAAAGCATTCCTTCAATGCTGAAATTCAAGGATTCAGCTCAGGCACACAGCAGAGAGGGATCAAGAAAATGCTTTTGAAGTGTCTAGTACATTGTTAGTACTGTTTAAATACAGAAAAAAGACTTTGATATGAGCATTGCACTGATTTGAGAACTTTTGTCTTCTCTCATGTTTATATGCCTGTCTATTCTGCTTCATTCTTCAAAACTGTCTCCTCCAAAAGAGAACATGTTGTCAAGTGATTATAGCTCAAGATGGAGGGTCAGAAGATTTGAATTCTAGCCCTGACTTGCCCTGCCACACAGCTGCTGTATGGGCTTGGAAAAAAAGCCACCCATCATCTGTGCCTTGTCTCCCCCACCTCTTTATAAAAACTAAAGCTATGTAAATACCTCTAAAAATGCATTCAATTATTGAAAAATGTATCTGTCTCGGCTGTGTATATATCCCTTTTTGTGTCGATTTTTCATGAACTCTCTCATAAATCAATTTAGTTGCCAGAATGAGCATTAAAACAGCAAATTTTAATCAAAATAACAGTGAAGAATAATTTATGAATTCAGAAATCTGAGCATAAACATGCCATATGAATTGGGTGTCTGGTAAAAAAATCAGTCCCCACAGATGAAATTTGTAAGTTCAATTCGCAAATATGCATTATGTATTTCTCACAAGCACTCTAAAGAACAAGAATTACTCATAGGGACTATTCAGTGGTAAGTCTGAACAAGAAATACATTCAAGAAAACCAAAAGGTGCCTTTGGACATTTCAGAAACAGAAAAAAAAAACCTAATTGGCACTACTAACTATTCACTAAGATTTATTCACTCTGTTCTTGTACAAGCTGGAACTATACCACCACTCCTTGTCAGGGAGGCAATAAGGCTAAATGTTGGTAAAGCACCCAGCTTTCCTTAATTGGTAGGTTTGATAGTGATGCATAATATCATTATAAATCATTGGTTTAAGCTAACAGGCATGCTAAAGCATCAAGAAAGTCCCAGATCTTCCTAGTGTAGTAGTTTTGCATTGGAAATTTAAGAATGGCTCTACTTTTTACACAAAGAGGAGTCTAAAGAAATAGGCATTCAGGCATATTAACAATGAGCACAGTGTAAAAAAGCTAGATGGATAGATTAAAAAAAAGTGAAAATTTGAGATTTTGCCTAGGTAGTGCCCAATTATTCTAGTTAAATATATTCTTGGCTAGCAAACAGCATCATGTCTGGCAATGATGTCCAAAGGAGAGCCATATTTTAGAACAATTACAGCATTACCTCATTTTCCCCCTCTCTTAAAAGAGAAAAGCAAACTTAGGCTAAATATTCTTTTCCTAGGCCAGGCAAACTTCTAAGCTTTTCTGGAAAGATTTTTTTGTTTTGTTTTGTTTTGTTTTGTTTTTTCCCCAAATTAATGAATTTTCAACAAGGCAAAAACAAAACAAACAAACAAAACCCTCTTTCCAACCTGCAGCATGGAAAGGTCCTTTTTCTAACTGGGTACTATTCCAGTACGGGGAACAATCACTAACACTATTGGGAAGCTCTACACACAAAAAAGCATGGAATAACCAGTAGGGATTTACCACACTATAGATAAGCAGGCACAATTTTATTCTGTTTTTTTTATTTGTTTGTTTGAAGAACTAGAAGATTCCTCAGACTTTAGCATTTGAGAAAATTCTGAGAAAAAAAAAAAAGAAACAAAGATCCCATGACTGGTTTGCTGACACCAGTTCTCCCTGGCTAAAGATGACACACATACTAGATAGCTGTTTCCATCTAAATCAATCCAGTGCAATGGTTTTTTCTGATAGAATAAAAAGGAATAATCCATGAAAGTTCATAAGCATGTTGTTCCACAGAAAGCTGAATTTTGCCCAAAAAATCCAAATGGAAAAGTTGACTTAAAAATACCCAGTAAACCTTACTTGCCAGTATTCCCTCTATTCTATAAAATGGTACCTGTAAATATATTTTTGACAAACTTTTTAAGTATTTTGCTGTTAAAAAATGATTAAAAGAAGAAGCCAATTTAAATTTAGTTTAAGAATAAATATTGAAAAAACAGCAAAGGTTTGTAACCTGTAAACTCATTTCTAAGTTTAAATTCTAAAATACTTCCCAAGTCCCTAACATCAGCTATATTGATATGGAAGGGAATAACTCCACCTGATCATCTCAGAAATCTGGGAAAAATTAACAAATTCTGTTTAAGCCAAGGAAATCTCTGTGTGGTAAAGCCCTTATGATTAGCTGTGCTCCGTTTTTCCGCCTTAGCCTAGGCCCCGTCTGCCTCTCTGTCTGCCATTAGGTCAGACAGTAAAGACCTGAACAGATTTTGGCTGGACAGAAAAAGCTGTGACTACATCCTAGTTAAAAACAGTTTTCTTCAACTCTGTACAGAACATTTCGGGTTGGAGGGAATGGAATTTCCCCAGGAAATGGAACCAAGAGACGAGGTGTTGGTCCAGCCCTTTAAGCACACAGATTTGCTGGGGCAGACAGGCAGAGGAAGTGTGGGCAGAAAAGAGGAACAAAGAGGCGTTCTTTTGTAGCAAAGTGGGTCTTTCTGACTGCGTAACCAGCCAGGACTGAAGGA